AGCTGTTGGCAGCTGTCACCACCTGCCGGCCCAGGGCCAGATGCCTGGCGGCTGTCGCAGGGAGTGGGGGGATGTGCAGCTGCTGGGTAGAGGGGAGCCTCGGAGCCCCCCTTACCTGGGGCTGTGGCAGACCCTTCAGTGGAGGCCCACCCTGGCCAGCCCCAGGTGTGTGTCTCAGCCCTGCCACAGGGCACCGTGGGTCTCCACCCCACCCTCTCAGGCATGGCCCTGGTGGGGTGCCTGCCCCCAGGCCAGTGTGGGCCCTCCCCCAGGCTCGGCAGCAGGTGGCTGGCGGGCTCCCGGAGAGCCACGCACAGTTCCGTGGGCCCCTCTACAGCCCCGAGGGGCAGTGAGGTGGGACCCTGAGTCAGCCTCCGGGGTGGCCCAAAGCCTTCCTGCCCAGCAGAAAGGCCCCACTAGGCCTGACCGACGTCAGGAGTGGGGGACGCTGCATGTGCTCAGCCCATGACCCCAGGAAGCTGCCGGCTCCTGGGCCTGATCCAAACATGCTGTCTTGTCAGCCCCAAACAAATGCCAGAGTCAAGGCCCCACCAGAGGGCCCAGAGAGCACCCTGAGCACACGGGTGCCGAGGGTCCCTGACCCAGGGCTCGCCCTACCCTGAGCGTGTGGGATGTGTGCTGGCAGGGCCCCGCCACCCACCCACCCCCAGGCTGCCTGGCCCTGCTGGCAGCCGCCACGTGGTGACGGGCACCTAAGCTGGGCTAGGGCAAGTTTTGCCTGGAATTGGCATTGTCAGGGGGCATGAGCAGCTGACCAGGGTGCAGGAGGCCACAGGGTCTGGTCAGCCTGCTGCCCCGCAGAGACACATTGTGGGGTGGGGGCCCTGGACCCCCCAGGGAGGACCCCAGGCTGTCCAGGCAGCAGGGAAGATTGAGTCGGTGAGGCCAGAACAAGCCATCAGGAGGCGGCTGACCCGGGGCTCCCCTGTGGTGACCCCTGGGTGGTCTCCAAGACAGCCCAGCAGAGGCAGAGCCCGCCTCCAGAGTTCCGGCCCGAGATCTGGGCTAGGGCCACTGAAGTATGTGGGTCTGTGTGGGCCAACCCACCCTGCACAGACAGGAGCAGCCCAGAGGTCAGGGCGGGCATGGGGTGTGGACACCCCAGATGGGACTGAGGGTTGGATTAGGCTGGAGGGAACAGCGGGACCTCCACAGGGCTGGCAGGCGAGGGACTCGGTGCTAGAGAACAGCAATGCTCGAAGTGCGGTCCCAGCACGGACCTAGGGACAGGACGCCCAGGGACTGTACATGACCAGTCAGCCTGGGGGCCCGACCTACAGCCCAGGTCCTGCTGGGCCAGTGCACATGACAGTGACCCCAGCTGTCCGAGGGGCCTGGATGGGTGTCCCCTGGGGACAGTCTCACCAGGTGGGGGATATCCTCTGTGCCCAGAGTCCAAGCCCACTCGGAGCCCCATGCAGGCATGGAGGTACCGCAGCAGGAGGGCTCCCAGCAAAACCCACCTCACAGGTCCTGCCTGCCCTCCTGCCTGGCCACTCCAAGCCAGGTCCACTTCTGGGTCACAAGGGCTCAGCCAGCATGGCGTGCCCAGCTAGGGCTTTCTCTCAGCACCCAGACAGCCTAGGGTGGAACACCCCTCAGAGACAGTGGTGTGAACCCTAAAAATAAACACTGGACCCTGGGATGCCAGATCCCCACGAGCACCCCTGATCTCGGGCTTCCCCCATCCCGTCCCAGGTTCCCCCGGCCTGTCCTGAGAGGGCTCAGCCCAGCCAGGGCCCATGGCTGTGTGGGCCAGGCACATGTGGAGGTCAGCGCAGGGCTGGGGGGAGCCCCCAGCGCCAGCTTCACCCCTGCACTGCCCAGGCCCAGCCCCTCTGCTTGACAAGCAGGCCCAGGCACCACCCACCGGGCACCGCAGGGCTCTGGTCGGCCCTGGCCCCTGGGAACCCACAAGCTTCTCAGACCAGATGTCGGTGCCAAGTGAGGGACTTCTGCACATTGCAGCCCACCCAGGAGTCCAGCTCCCAGGCTCAGCCCTGTGGGAGTCCTGCTCCGTGACCCACCTCCCAGCTCCCCGCCCACAGGCCCACATGTCCCTGTGCGGCCCAGCCCGGTTGCCTGAGCCTGGCAAGGTCATCCCAGAGTGCTCAGCACTCGCCCCTCCCGAGCCTGGTCCCTGCAGCACCGCCTGGAGGGTGGGCAGCCCTTGGCCTCACTCGAGAGTCCAAGCCGAGGCTGCGCCCCGCAAAGTGCCCGTCCTGTGTCCTGGTCACACGTCCCAAGTTCCTGCCATCTTTCCGGTGTCCCACACTCCGCATTACTGTCCCAGGCCCCCTTGTCTGGCCCTGGGACAAGGCTCTGATCTCCTGCCAGTCCCTCCCAGCCCAAGGCCTGTTGGGGTGGGGGGGAGTGCCCCACGTCCCTGCATCCTCAGACTCTTGTCACGCGGCCCCTTTTCCCCAGGCATCAGCCTCAGGCCCCCCCTCCGGGACAGCTGTGACACCCCACAGATACCTCTTTGAAGCCAGAAGGGCTGGGCAGCAGGCGGGCGGGCGGGGTGTCACACTCGAGGGTGTCAGAGCCTGGGCTGCCTTTCAAGTTCGCTGGGCTTCAAGGGAACCAGCTCAGACGGTCCAGGAGAGGATCAAGGAGGGATCACTGGCCTGGCGGCACCTGCGACAATCCCTGGCACTCCCTCCAAGGACACTGGAGGCTCCTTCCCCGTCCCCACCCATGTGGCCCTGGGATAACTGGGGACACCGCTGGCCACTGCCTCCAGACTGGGACCCCCGGCCGCACCCAGGCCCAGCCTCCACACAGGGAGCCCCACAGAGCTGGCGTTTCTGCTGCCAGTGGTCCCTGCAGCATTGGCAGCCGCCAGCTAGCCTGTCTGCCTGGGGCTGAGGGCACTTCAGCGGCTGCTCTTGGTGCACGTGGAGGGGCAGGGAAGCCCCGGGCATGGCCCCACCACCGCACCCCTCGCTGTGTGCCTCTGGACGCCTCCTCCTCCTCCCCACCCCCATCCTCCCAGCCCATCAGTGGGGTGCTGCCCGCAGGCCCACACCCTCATCCCCAGGGCTGCCACCCCCAGCACCCTCTGCACCCAGCCTGGGAGCCCAAAGCAGGGCAGGAAGCCCTCGGAGACAGAGCAGGGGCAGGTGGCAGGTGGGGATGGGCAGAGAAGCCAAGCTTCACAAGAGGCCTGGCCTGCCCGCTGCCCGCCAGTCAGCGAGGCCATCCGGAGGGCTGGCTACACACACCTCCATCCTGGGACTCAAAATGGGGCCTCACAGTGGGGCCCGCTGCTGAGGTGGCGGGGTGGCATGTGGGCACTGGAACTGCCAGGGGTCATGGTAGGGTCAAGCAGAAAACAGCCCGGGGACAGCAGAGGTGGGGACTCCCAGCTGCAGACCAGGGGGCTGCAGGGGGCACGGGGCGCTGACCCCGCCAGGCTGTCCCTGGAGGGGCCCATGGAGACCGAGGGCAGGAGGCAGAAGCTGCAGCAGCAGGAGCGGGGCTCCGGGGCGGCCGGCAGCTCCTCAAGGTGGGGCGTCGGTCTGTCTTCCGGAGGGCCCCCTGCCCAGCCAGCACCCCAATATGCTCACAGACTGACCAGCCCAACAATGACCCTCCAGACACCTGAAAGGGCCCTCAGCGGGGAGCCCAGAGCCGCTGGGCCCAGAGGACCAGGACCCCGCCCCCGTGGCCAGGGGGTTAGCCTCCCAGGCCTCCTGGGGCGGATGGGGGGCAGGCCCCATGAAAGCCACGGGGGAACAGCTCTGACCCCAGGCTCAGGACAGGGCGGTTCCAGAGGCTTTGGGAGGTTCCAGGCACTGCCCCTTGGCCCTTTTCTGGTGGAGAGGGCAGCTGTCCCCTGGGGCCTGGCAACAGTCACCCCCACCAGAGCCCACCTCACTCCCCACGGCCCCCACGCCAAGATTGAAGCCCAGTCAGCTGTACCTGTGCAGCCTGGCCCGTCTGGGGAACACATCCGGCCACTTGCTGAGGGCTGCCTCGGTCCCCACTTTCCCGTGGCCCCTGAGCAGGGCTTCCCACAGCAGGGCCAGGCACCCCATTGCATCTGTGTGGGTGGCATCCGTCACTGGCCAAAGGCTTCTGCCCCTGGAGTCTGGGCCACCCAGGGGCCTTCCCTCAGAGGCTGGCCCCTGCCTTCCTGGGGACAGCAGTGGGGGGACACTGAGGACGGAGGACCCAGCCTGCACTGTAGAGGGGCCCAGTGGGGAGGGGTAGAGGGCCTACCCCTGCCGCAGCCCCTGGACCCCAGCAGGGCTCGCCCCTCCCACCTGGCCTTCTGCGGCCCCTGGGCTTCTGTGCGGCACGCCAGACAGCTAGACTCACACCTGTTGGCTTGTTGCCCTTTCCCGAGAGAGTCCAGAGCCCCCTAGCCAGAGGCAGCCTGGCCATTCCGTGCTGGCCGAGCAGTCAGGGCCTCCATTTGCCTATCTGGAGATGGGGACCACTTCTCACAACCCAGGAGTGGCTGGAAGCCCTCCAGGGGTGCCTTGCACACAGCAGGCCCCCAGATGGAGGTGACAAGGGGGCTTCAGCTCTCCAAGGCCAGCCCACCTGGATCCCCAGAACGGGGACGGGGGAAGCGCAGCCCTGCACTGAGAACTGCAGGGGTCACATGGCACGGGAGGGGCCCGGGGACGACCCCCGGTCTGGGTACGTGGACAGGCCATCCAGGAAGGCGTCCACAGGGGGCGGGGGCAGGGCTCCAGACATGGCTGCCGGTGATGGGCCCTGAGGGCCCAGGTGTCACTGCAGAGCCTTAGGCCCAGTGACGGGACTCCTGGGGGCCTTCTTTGCTCCTGGTTCAGGAGGCCAAAGTATGGGTACACACGTGTGCACCCATAAACCTGTATAGAACACAGGCTCACACACCTGTACAGACACAGCCCCGCACACACACCTGCACGCAAACCTAGGTCTCCCCACACATACACTGGCACACAGATGAAGGCCATGTGCATGCACACACACAAAACGCCAGCTTAGAGGAAAAGGATGCACATTTTCTTGTTTAACAAAATAAATTAAATATAGGAAGCTTCAGCTCAAACTCTGTATAAAATTAGAGGTCTGGGGCCACCATGGACAGTGGAGTGATGGGTACCTGGCCCCAAGGTGGACATCAGCATGGCCACAAGGCCAGTAGGTCCTGAGCCCGAGGAGGGGCCAGGTCTCTGTGGCCCAGCCCCCATTCCATCATTATTACCTTAATTTCTCAAATATAAATATCAAGGGCCCCTTCTCCCTGGCAGTGGGAAGCCACATGGGGCAGGGGTCACCCCCAGCCAAGTTCCAGCCCCTCAGGGAGAGGTCTGGGACTTCTACATCTGGCACCCTGGCCCAGGCTGCCAGCGGACCCCCCCAGACAGTGGGTGGCCTGAGCAGGGTCCTCGCAGGGCAGGGCAGGGTGGGAAGGTCAGGGTCCACAGCGCCAGGGTGCCTCCCAGACAACCCGCCAGGCCAGGCTGGGGTGTGACCACGGTCCCCGTGAAACCCTCTCCAGGCCAGGCAATTCCTTCATCAACCAGCCACGGCTACGTGGCCACTAACACAGGCCCTCCTAAGGCCGCTCAGTCTGAGCACGTCCGTGTGTATAACTGCACACGCACACCTGTGGCATGTCTGTGTGTCTGTGTGCATGACTGCGCACGCATGTCCGATGTGCGCCTCGTGGGCCCTACCTCCCGCCTGGGCCCAGCCCCCGCCCCACGCAGCCCACAGCGGCCTAGCACTGGCAATGGGGATGCTGGTGCTGGTGGGCCTTGCCCTCCACGTGTGAGTGTGTGTGCGTGTGTGTGTGCGTGTGTGTGTGCACATCTGTGTAGAGTCTGGGGTAAAGCTTGGGGCCAGCAGGCGAGCCTGGGCTCAGAAGGTGCTGGGGGGCTGCCGGGGGCCCAAGCTCCTCGCAAAGACCCACAGCAGGGGCGGTGCCGAGGGCAGCTGGTGCGGGCGGGTCCTTGTCCCCACCGCGGTCGCGGGCTGTGGCAGGCAGGCGGTGTGCGGGCATGGCAGGGGCAGACGCAGGCGCACATGGCTTCTTCTTCGCCTGGCAGAGCCACAGGAGCACAGTGCCCAGGATGAAGACGGCACCAGCCGGGATGCCGATGGCCACGGGCCATGGAAGGCTAGTGGTCGAGGACGAAGCAGCCACAGGTGGCCCCGGTGGCTTTGGGTCTATGGGAGAAGCCAAGAAAGGAGGTAGGCAGAATGCCCCCATAGAGCCCAGGAGCGTCTGCAGGAGGCCAGCGTGAACCTGGTCATGGCAGAGGCTGGGGGGCTGGGGTTGGGAGGTCCTAGCAGGGCAAGGGCAGGTCCTGGCCAGGTGAGGGGGACGGGGCCAGCAGGGGTGGGGGGAGGAGCAGGTCCCACCCACCCACCTGGCAGCACCGTGAGGAAGGCGCTGCGGAAGCTGTAGCCCATGGTGTTGGCGCCCAGGCAAATGTACATGCCCGCATCGTCCTGGCGGGCACGGGGGATGAGCAGCTTGTTGAGGTAGGAGCCGTCTGGCCGGGACCACACATCACCCGTGGGCAGCACCACGAACTTCTGGCCACCCACGTCGATGGTGGAGTTGTAGCGGCCCTCAGCGCCATACTCCACTCGCTTCAGCCACTGGATCACTGGCTTCACGTCACTGCGCACTTTACACTGGAAGGACGTCGTGCCCCCAAAGTCCACCGTCGTGTTCACCGGGTGCGTGCCCGTGAGGACAGGTTTGGAGCGTGTCCGCTCTGTGCAGAGACACCGCATGTAGGCGCAGCCCCTGGGTATTCCCCAGCCCTCCACCCCTTGGTCCCACACTCACGGATCACGTCCACCTTGTAGGTGGCATTGATGGCGCCCACGCGGTTAGACACACGGCACGTGTACTTGCCACTGTCCTCAGGGCGCAGATTCTTCAGGCTCAGCGTCCACTTCTTCCTGTGCTCACTGGCTTCTGGGCGCGCCAAGGCCTGGTCATCCTTCATCCACATGATGTCAGGGCGTGGGTGCCCGCTGGCCACGCATTTGAGCCGCACGGAGCTGCCCACAGGCCGGGCAATCACCCGGCGTCTCATCTTGGACGGCTGCGTGAAGCGGGGCCGTGCTGCGGGGCGGGAGTGGCACAGCGGTCAGCGGGGGCCAAGAGGGCCGGGCCCACCCACCCGAGGGGCTGATGCTCACCCCACCGCCTGCTGGCTGGGTCCTCCTGGCCCCCTGAGGACCCGTCCTGGCCTGGGCTCTCCCTTCCTGGGCTGGTATCATCTGCGGAGGGGAGGACACATGAGAGGGGCCCTCGCCCCTGGCCCGGCTGGGAAAGCCCTAAACGCAGGGGAGCCACGGGTACACGCCCCCATCTCAGAAGCCCAGACAGCTGAGCAAAAGCTGCCGCCCAGCCCACTCCCGGGGTGCAGGTGACCCTGACAGGCGCGGGTGGGGCCAGAAAGCCGGCCCCCTACCCTGGCTCCGGGGGGTCTGCAGGGCCCAGAGGAGGAGGGGCTCAGGCACAGCCAGCAGCTGCAGTAACCCTAGCTCACATCAAGGGGCCGAGGGCTTGGTGAGCTGACGTGGCTCACATACCACCAGGCCGTCCTCCCCTGTGAAAGGCTGGGGGACACCCACCACGTTCCCACTCCACAGCCTCGAGAAGGCCCATGGGCCAGCCGGCGGGGAAGGGGTGCTCAGGACTGCTCCCTCCCCAGGACAGCCGTCACCTGCGCCATGAGCCAAGCCCAGGCCCCGGCCAGGCTGTCTCAGGCCCCACGAGGCCCGGGGAGGGGGTAGGCTGGGTCAGGCTGCTTTGGGGTGTGGGCCAGCATAGCTGCCAGGGAGCCTGCCCCGATGGACCCATCCCAGGAGCCGCTGAGGGAGGGCCAGGCGCCACTGCCTGGTGTCAGGAGCAGAGGGCGGTCAACAAGCCAGGCCCCAGTGCAGAACGGGGTCCTTCACTTCCTGGTGGCCTCTCTGGACTCAAAAACCGGAGGCCAAGGCCACCGGACCAAGGTCAAGGCCAACCCATCTGCCCTTGGGTGGGACCACCACCCTAAGAGCCCCCATACCTACTTCTGTTACGCCCCAGGCAGCCTGGGCCCCAGGTCAGCAGAACCTTTGGGGAGGAAGGGGCCCTGAGGTGCAGTCTGAGAAGGGGGGCCCAGGCTGGGGTCGGTAGCAGGCAGCATGCCATTCTGCTGTGGGGGTCTCACAGGGAGGTCTGCCCGGGGCTACGCTGGCCCGGCCCGGCCGCCCGCCCTGGCTCAGCCTTCACTAACCCATCACGATGAGAGTGTAGTTGACGCTGAGGCTGCCAAAGCCATTGGTGGCCTTGCACACATAGGCGCCTGCGTCCTCCCGCTCGACCTCCTTCACCTTCAGCCCCTGGGGCAGCACACGGAAGCGGCTCCAGCCGCCGTGGATTGTGCGGCCATCCTTGGTCCACATGGTCAGTGGTGGCGGGTCCCCCTCCACAGGGCACAGCAGCCGTACAGTGCGGCCCAGCCGGGCCACCTGCCGTGGGACCACCTTGTCCGCCATCCTTGGGGGGCCTGCAGTTGGTCAGAGGGCACAGTCAGGGAGAAGGCTCTGGCAGGCGGCCAGGGGCTGAGTGGGAGCCTGGGGGAGTGGCTGTTCTTGCCGGTCCCTGCCCAGGACCCCACCACATACACCTGCCCACACAGGCAGGGGGCCCCCACCCAGCACACAGCCACGGGCGCTCCCCCAGGCCTGTAGCATGCCAGCCCATGTCCACTGAGCTCCACTCCCGTCCACATCCTCAGCCATACCACGTGCCTCACAGGACCCAGAGCACAAGGGACCCGGGCAGCTCACTGGGACACAGGTCCCCAGCAGGGGAATGGCCACTCGGTCTCTGGCAGGCCACCCACATGTCTGGGCACATGTGCATGTGTGTCCGTGTGCCACACACACAGGGTACATATCTGGGGCCACGTGGTGCCTGCACGTGTGGGCTGTATCTGGGGGGCATGCCTCAAGGCCCTGGGGTCAGAGGACAGGGCTGGATGTGCAGGGCCCAGGTACAGCTCCTGGTCATTGCTCTCCACAGAAGCCCAACTTGGCTGAGGCTTGGTGCCCCTCACTGCAAGAAGAAACCCGCCCCCATCTGCTCCAGCACAGGAAGGCTTGGGGCCTCCAAGGTTGAGTGCAGAGACAGTAGGGGTTGGAGGGCGCTGAGTGGCGGGCGGGCTGGGAAGGACTAGGCCATCTGGCCAAGCCAACCCCCAGGCCTGGGCTGCTCTGCAGCTCCTACACCATGCACAGCCATGAGGGGCACTGGGCTCTTGGGGCCACCACCACTGCAGCCCCGTCACCAGCAGAGGCAGCCACAGGCACCCGCACACACTCTGCAGGGGCCGGGCTGGCCCCGCTCAGAGACCCTGCTCTCCGACCGGCAGCAGTTTCCACCACTGCAGCCACCACAGGCGGGGAGGGTAGAGACCTGCGTCCTGGCCACACGCAGGTGCCAGGGGGCAGAGATGGCTCCGAGATGGTCTTGCTACAGAGTCTGAGGGAGGCATGTGTTTTTAATAACCAGCTGGTATTTCTCTGACATGCAACCATCAGCCAGTCACGCTGCCAGCCAGCGTGGCCAAGGGCTTCTGTGGCCCCCAGATTCAAGCAGCAGCTTTGGCTTGTCATCTCCCACCTCCCAGGGGCCCTCGCAGAGCACAGAGCCCCCCACCACCTCCGCCTGGGGCCGCTGGGGAGGGGAGCAGCAGCTGGTCCGTCCTCGGATGGAGGGAGCTGAAGGCCAGGGTGCAGGCTTCTCTGGGGCCCCCAGGCCCTGCTCCCAGCCGCGCTCTCCCAGCCCTGCTGGGGGGGGGCACCTGACACAGCCAACAGGAAGGGTGGGGTCGGGGCATGTGGAGAGGGGCTTTTACCAGCTGCCCTCCCCGAGCTCTCGCCCACACCTGCCGGGTCCCCCACCACCAAGCACCCCCTGCCAAGAAGCAAGCCCGCTCTCCAGCCCTTTGGGGACCCCCACTTCTCTGCCTCTGCTCAGGTTCCCCCATCCGACTGTGTGGCTCGGAGACAGTGCGCCATAGGTTCGGGCCAGCGCTGGGGTCCCAGTCAGCCACCTCCTCAGCACCCCTGACCTCCGGAAGGGGCAAGAAGAGCAGGGGGTCCTAAGGCCCTAATTACTCTGTGGTGTACAGGCCCCCAGCTCCTACCCAGCTCATGGTCGGCGGGGCTGCAGGGCCCACAGACAAGCCCAGGATCCCCGCCTTACTTCCACACAGACCCTGTCCACCACCTGTCGCTGCTTGGAATTCCACCATTCCCAGGGGCCTCCCAGGCTGCAGGACAGAGGGCACCCACAGCCCACTCAATGCCCTGGGGCTCCCAGGCTGACACCTGGGCACACACAGACCCACGCAAGCACCCAGACTGCGCAGGCTGGCAGCAGTGCCCAGGCCAAGGGGTCGGCCCCCCACTGCTGGGGCTCTGCCTGTCCCAACCCCATCCTGGAGGGCACAACTCGGGGCTGGTTCCACACCCACACCCTGAATGAACTACCTCGGTGGCAGACAAAGGACTGGCCTCACTGCGCTGGGGGATCACCTCCATCCCTGCCCCTCCCAAAAGCCAGCAGAGAGAACCTGAGGGGCGGGGGCACCTCCCGGGTGGCGGGCACTACAGGCCCACAGTAGGAGAGGTCAGGACCCCCTCAGTCACGTGGGGAGGAGCTCCATGGGAGGCCAGATAGGCCGGAAGCATGGCCCCAGGCCGGCCTGGGGGCAGTGCAGGGGACAGGCAGGCCTGGCTGGAGCCAGCCTTATCCTAAAGCAAACAGCTCCCCCGCTCCCATGCAGCTACACACATCCTACCCCAGGCTCCGCCAGACCCTCACGCCAGGCCAGGCCTCTGCAGAGACCCCAGTAGGCCCATCGGCAGGAGGCCCATCCTCCCACCCCCGCCCCAGATTCCTGGGAATTTTGGCCACCAGCGCGGCGGCCACAGCTCTATATTTAGCCTGGGAAATACAAATCCCCATTGTTCCACCTGGGCAGGGCAGCCAACCTACCCAGCCGTGGGGAAACTGAGGCAGGAGCTGAGGCCCACAGGCACCTGCAGGGAGGAGGAGGCAGCCAGTTCCGGTCCCGGCCTAGGAGGAGAGCCTGGCAGCTCCAGGTGGTCACTGTGATGGCAGCACCTGGGCCTTCTCCTGCGTTCCTCCACACAGCCTCAAGCTCCTCTCCGTGAGCACCTCCTCCAGGGAGTCCCCCACCCTGTACACACTCTAAGCGACAGCCCTGGGAATTCTGGGCACAGGTAAGAGGTGCAGACAGCCACATGGACAGGGGACTGAAATAGGAGTAAACAGAGGCTGGGGCAGGGTCTCCCCCCTCAGTGAGAGGGCTGAACATGGAGACGACCAACAGGAAGGGAGCCACCTCCCTGCTCTCCTCCCGTCCAGCTGTGAAACATGGCCAGGGAAAGGGGTTCTGCGAGGGGCCTGGGTGTCTGAAGGGCCCCACACAGCCCCCCATAGCTCAGGTGTCCCCCAGATGCTGCCCCCGACACACAGGTTGTCCTCCAATCCCCAGGTTCACACACCCCAACACAGTTGCAAAATCTGCCACTCTGGGACACAGACCATCTCTGAGCACCTGAGACCCCCAGGCCCACATCCCCTCGCTCCACTTGGCTGGGAGCACTGCACCCCCAGACTCAGCAAAGATTCAGCTGTGACCCCAGGTGGTGCCTCCCCACCCCAGTGGGCCCAGGGAGGGCTGAGGGGCAGGGGGCTGCAACAGACTCTGTGCCGGCTGCCTTCCTGAAACGCCCTCAGGAGAGCCAAGCCCCAGCTCTGTTCAGCCTGCAGGGCCTGGCTGTGGGGCATCCCAGGATGCTCGTGAGCCTGAACTGCTGACCCCTGCTCCCTTCACATGGACTTGGATGACACACGGCCCCTCCTCCAGCTGCCACGCACCAGGGGCCAGTGGGGGCTACAGAGGCACCTGGTAGTCTCAGGCCTCCTGCCACAGCAGCACCTCCACCCCAACACACCCACCCTCTGCAGCTGGGGACAGGTGTGCAGGAGCAGGTAGTCAGCTCCCTCCCCAGCAGGCCCTGCAAAGCCAGTCCTTCCCAGCCTAGATGTTCTGTGGCCAGGGACGGGGGCATCAGGCTAACTGCATTGGAACTGGCTATGGAGTGAGGGTGGCCAGCAAGGAGCCAGGGACCTGCTGGTCCCCAACCACCCCTAAGTGGCTTGGGGGAGTGGCTCAAAGGACAGTGGGGGGCCCTGGTCAGAGGGCAGATCTCAGGGCAGGGAAGTGGCAGGTCCTGGCCAGGCAGGGTAGGTGGGTACTCCCTGGGGGAGACCCATGGTATTGGCCCAGGGTGAGGGCACTGGCACAGGGGCGGGCTAGCACCCCCCTAAAAGGCAGGGTCTGGGGGAGGGGCAGGAATCCCCTGATGGGGCTGCTGTCGGGGAGCTGCCTGGCCACCCAGCTGCACACCCACACACAGGCACACAGGCTCCTGCACCAGCCAGCCCAGGGCGGCCCCGGGGGCTGGACCACGGGATCTGAGGTGAAACTGGTAGGACCCGCAGGACAAGTGGTTGCCCCAGAAACCCATTCTCGGTGCAGCAAAGGGCAGCCTGACCCACTGATCAAGCCAACTGGCTGGAGCGTGGAGCCCGCCCACCACCCCCATGGGCACAGGCAAGCCAGTAGACTGGCAGGTGGACCCCTGGCTTCAGGACTCCTCGGCACCCCCACGGCACTCATGGGGGTATTGCCCGGAGGAACTCCACTGAAGTGGCCGGCAACCAGAGCAGCAGCCAGACCCAGCACCACGAGACCCGCTCGGGCTCAGTGGGCCAGCCAGGATGGCCACACGCCATGTCCAGATCCTGCAGGGTCCACCAGGCTCCAAGCTGACCCCTGCTGCCACCCTGCCCACGTCTGCCCCCCAACCCCCACTCATGTCACTTACCTGGAACTCAGGTCCTCCCTCCTGGCTCCCACCCCAGCTGCCAAAGAACCCAGGAGGCCCCTGCCCACTGAGGCCTCCGTGGAATGTTGGCACTGCACTCAAGAGGACAGGGTAACACCCCTTGCCCACCACCCCTGTAGGCCCTGACCCAGGCATCCATGTCACCTGGGGAGAGTGACAAGGACATTTCTTCAGCCTAGAAGTCCTGGGCTACAGGTGGGGCATTTAGACAGAACCGATGCTCTGCCCACACTGGCAGTCAGACCCACCTAGCACTCCCATGCCAGAGGGGCACCCCCGCCCACAGCAGGCCAAGCCCAGGCCTGAGGGCAGGAGCCCTGGGCAAGCCAGAGGGCTCTGTGCAGGCTGCTGTAGCTGTGGCGGAGCCGTGAGGCATCAGAGCCCAGTGCCACCCCAGCTCCCTCACCCGCCTGCCGCCCCAGGCCTCATTATTCACTCAGTCACTCCACCACACAGCATGTGTAAATTGCTCACGAAATAAACTGGCCTAGCAAGAAGAAAAGCAATTGTTTCTTGCCAGGATGGAAAGCCCTGGGTGTCAGCAGCCCTGAGGCTGGGGCACTCTCCCTGCCCCAGCAGCCCCAGACACTTCGGAGACGCTCCTGCAACCCCACTGCCAGGCTGTTCCCGCACAGGAGCCAGCCTGTGTGCGTGAGGAGCATGCAACATCTCCCGCTGTCTGCCAGCCCCCAGGCCCCGCCCCAGCCCCTCAGTGGAAGAATGGGGTTCAGAGGCTCACTGGGGAAGGCTGGCTGCACTGCCCAGCTGCAAAAGCCCCCCAGGACACTGCCAGCCCCTCCTACCTAGAACCCCCAGCCGACCAGGCCCTCGGCCCAGTCCTGGCCCATCTCTGCTCATGGCCCCCAGTTTGGCTACACCAAGGAGGCAGAGGCCACTGGATGTCCGTCCTGGCCCAGGTGAGCTGCTCACCTCTGCCCACCCTTTGCCCCCACACAGAGGCCTTTCCTTCCTCACCCGACCAGCACCCACGTCTCCTGCAAAGCCCGCTCTGGCCTGGTCCATGAGGCTCCAGCCTCACTTTCTCCTGGCTTTCCTGGGCTGCGGCCCCCCAGGCCAGCACAGCAGTCCCTCCTCTCCTTGAGCAGCCTGGCTGGGATCCCCAGGCTTGGCCAGGGGCACCTGGCAACCCCCACTTGGAAGAAGGGACAGCACGCAGGGTGGAGTGGCAGCACTGGGTAAGGCATCTCTGGGTCTGGGGAAAGTGGCTTGAGCACACCTTCCCCTCCAGGTGCTGACCTTGCCCACTGAGGCTGTAACTGGGCAGAATGGGGCCACGGTCACCAGGCAAGACACAGAACAGGGTCAAAGAGGCCACCGTGGACAGTACCCCATGGGTGGGTGGCCAGCAGCAAGGGCTCCTGCTGTGGGGCCACAGACCACCTCACCCAGCACTGTCAGCAATGCCTGAGCCCAGGACCCACCAAGCCAGCGGTGGAGGCCACGTCTGGGGAAAAACCAACATTTCCCTTGCTAGGGCTGGCGCTGGGCAGGAGTCGGAGGCCCATTGATTCCCACATAATGGAGAGGGAGCCTGCGGCAGGCCCAGCCAAAGGCAGCTTTGTCCAGGGCTCGCCCCTCCCCGCGGAAAGGGACAGTGATTTACTTTCCCTTCCAGGATCAGGGCCTGAGATGTAAACGGGGCAGCTGGCCCGCATCCCCACCTCCAAGCTCCGGGACCCAGCTCCCGCACGTCTACTTCAGCCAGCCCCACGCTGGTCAGCCGCCACCCAGAGGGGCCTGCAGGAGGTGGGTGGCCCCCTGCAGCTTGGCTGGAGGCTCAGGTCAGTGAGCCCACGCGCACACCACCATGGCCATCCTGACAGCCGCGCACCTTCCCACTGAACTGCACACACAGCAGGCTCTTTCCCCACACAGCCCTGCAAGGAGGGCGGCCCCAAATGGCACCATCCCAGTGGGGCCAGCCCCCAGCCCCTGGGGCCAGCGCTCAGCTCACTCAGGGCAGGCTGGCCAGTCTAGAGAATAGGGAACTGGCCTCAAGGGCTAGGCTGATCAGAGACCCATCCACGGTGCTATCCTGGGAAAGTTCAAATGTGGCGCTGCTCAGAAAACCCCTCAAATGACTTCTGAAGTTTTTTGTGGAAGGTGTTTTTTCTGAACCTCTCAAGTTTCCACTGTGAGAGAAATAAAATGGAAATGGAGACAGCCAAATCCTATTCTTCCTCAAATTTGAGAAAACAGTTTAAGACAAACCCCAAGATTGTGAAACTTCGTGAAGGAGGCTTAAACCGTAATGAGTCGAGATAGGAGATTCCAGAAACGGTGACACCACGGAAATGGCCAGAGAACAGTCCACTCTGCCTGGCTGCTGGCCGAAGGAAGGCCCACACTCGGCCACCCAGCCGCCAAGCGGGGGCCCAGAGAGGCCTCCCCAGGTCAGGAGCCGCCCCACTGGAAGCCAGGGCTCAGCTCCCTGCGCCCACGGCCCTTGCCACACAGAGCCAGGGCTAGGGGCCAGGGCGGGACACCAGGCACAGCCCCAAGGCCACAGCCAAGGGGGACAGAAGGAGGCAGAGCTCCCCCCCTCCCCCCCCGGGCTCCCAGCACCAAGGCAGGCCCTTCTGCCGGCCATCCGCACTGCCACCACCATCCGCCACATCTCGGGCTCCAGCCAGTGACCCTGCGGGGCAACGGCCTCCAGAGCCTCTTTGGCTGAGTGGCCAGAGGACAGGCAGGTGTGGGAATGGGGGAGTCCAAGCAGATAAAAGAGGAATCAGAGCCACAGCCGCTGGCTGCGGGGAGGGCCCTACTGGGCATGACCTAAGGCCTGGCCATGCCCAGGCAGCCCCCACCCTCAAGCCAGAGGGCCAGCGGGTGGGGGTGGGGGAGTACCATGGCATGAAGCCCACCTGGGCCGCCGCCCGCCACCCAACACCCGAACATGGCCATATAAGGCCAGGTTGTACTTGGTGCGCCCGCGGGCAGTGGGGGAGGGGTGCAAGGCCTTAGAGGACTGGTGGACAGGGCAGGGACAGTCCTGAGGGTCAACACACCCAAGGGCCGGCCTGGACACAGAACACAGAGGGCAGGAGTCCACGGGCACCCATCACCCACCACCCGTCAGCTGAGGATGTCCTCCACTAGGGTTGGGTGTGGGGGCCAGGGTCCCTTGGGCACCAGCCCAGGCCTGCCTGCTTGGGTATCAGGTGTGTGACACACACCGGAGAGACATAGTGTGTGGCCCCCAGAAGGTGGTCTTTGAGGTCTACCTTGAGACAGCCGCTGTCCTGGCCCCTGTGCCGTGCGGCAATATCAAGCTCTGAGGCCTCAGCCCCCATTCCCTACCCTGGGCAGGCCCAGGGCACAGGACTGGGCCATGAATCCCAGACACCAAGGATGTCCCCATGGTCCCCACCCTCACCATTGGGAGTATCTCTGAAGGTTCCTGGGGGCCTAACTGGATTCACTGTAGCCAAACAGCCCACCCCCCAGGAATCCACAGGATGACCAGCTGCCTTCGACCGCAGGTCCATGTGTGTCCTGAGGGGAACTGGTGCCAGAGCCCACCCTGCCAGCACGCGTGGGGCCTGCAGGTGGGGGGGGCACCCCGCGTGTGGCCTGCGGGTGGGTGGGAGGCACCCCGTGGGTGCTGGGGGCCTTGCCTATGGGGCCCTGCGGGTGAGCGGGGGGGGCACCCCGTGGGTTCTGGGGGGCCCTGTGGGTCGGTGGGGGGTACCCCGTGTGGGGCCTGCAATGAACGGGGTCACCCCGTGGGTGCTGGGAGCCCTGTGGGTGGGCCACCCCGTGGGCCTGCGGGAGAGGTCGGGCGCGCGCCGCTGAACTGGGACAGGGTTCAGGGCCGGGAGGAAAGGGGCGGCCCGGGACTCACCTCGCGCGGCGACGGCCTGCGGGAGGGCCCCCAGCAGCAGCGGCGGCAGGAAGAGCAGCAGCGCGGGGCGCGGCGCCATCTCGGCCAGCGCGGACCTGGGGATGTCGGTGCGGTCACTGGCGCGGGGGTGGGAAGGGGGGAGGGTCGCCGCCTCCGGCCTGCGCGCGCTCCGGGCGGAGGAAGCGGCGGGGAGCCCGTGGGCATCAAAGGCAGACAAAGGGTTCACACTAATTACAGGCCGCCCCCGCCGCCCCCGCCGCCCCCGGCTCGCACACCGTCTGGATTCCTGGCGCTTGTAATCGGCCCTGCCCGCGGGACACACAACAGCAGCGGCCGCGCAGATAATCGCCTGCGCCATTAGCGGACAAATTTGCGCTGGGGGCGCCCAAGTGGGGCGCAGGGCGGGGGCGGGGCGCGAGCAGGACCGGGGGCTGGGCGTGCGGCGACGGTGCGTGCGTGCGTCCCGCGACCTCGCTCCCGGGGGTCGCAGTCTGGGACCCGGACCCTCCCGGCCCGCGCCCGGGACCCGGCCCCGGTCCCCACCCGCGCCAGTCGGCCCGGGGTCGCGGGCGCGTGCGGAGGGGCTCACCTCGGCGGGACTTGAGGACGGCGGGGCTCAGGGTCGGGCCCGCGGGGCGCGCTGCGCGGTCATCGCTGCCCCGGGCACCGCACCCCGCCGCCCCGCGCCCCCGGGCCCGGCCACGGGACCGGGCGGCGCTACCTGGCGCGGGCGCTCGGGTGGGGCCGGGCCGGGCCGGGGTCCGGGGACGGCGCAGCGGCGGGGTCGGGGCCGGGGGCCGGGGTCCCGGGGCTGCAGGCCGAGGGGCCCAGGGCGCCGCGCCGCGAGGCGTCCTTCCCTGCGGGGCTTTGTCAACTCTCCCGGAGCGAGCGCCGAGCCCGCCGCGCGCCCCGCCCCGGCACAACTTCCCGCCAATCGGCAGGCCCCGTCCCGCCCCGTCCCAAACTTTGCCCCAATCAGAGCGCAACCGCCCCCCCCTCCGGGCTCCGGGCCTTAACCCTCGCGGTGCGGGCGGCCCAGGGGCGCGGCGGCTCCCTGGGGCGCCGCCCCGCCCCCAGCCGGCTCCAGACCACCGCCCCGCCCTCGTTCCACGGCGCCCCTCCCCAGCCTCGCTGATACCCCGCCGGCCCCGGCCCTGCGCACCGCTAGGTGCTGCGGTCCTCGGCCCGCACCTGATCCGCTCGCGCCCGTACCAGAGGCCCCAACCTCAGGGCACCCCCCCGCACCCTCAAGGCCGTCCGTGGACAGCCCCACGACCCCCTGAACTCTGGCTAGCCCCGGCCCAACCCAGAAGGAGCCAACTGGACGGCCGTGGGGCGCTTCCGGCTCTCGAGATGCGCGCCCCGGAGCCGTTATGAGCAGAGGGGAGATCCAAGAAGCCGCTTCGGCCTCAAGAGCCTCCGGGAGGGGGTGCAGGTCTCAGGTGACGCGAAGCACAGAGGTCCTGCCCCAGCGCCCCAGATTACCTGGCGCCCTTGACTGAGGGCAGTTATGTCCCCATGGCCCACCTAGTGATGGTGATCAAGACACTAACAATAACAGGGAACACACGCAGTGCCTCCGTTAATCCCCACAACCAGGCAGTCTTCTTACAGTCACCTGGTGCTGATGAAGAAATGCAGGTACAGAGAAGGCAGGTAATTTAGCCAAGATTTCCCAACCAGCACTTGGCATGTCCAGGAGTGAAGCCTTGCTGGGGTGTCCAGCTCTCCTGCAGTTCTTTCTCCACACTGCCCCACTGCCCTGCTCAGCGCCTGCACACAGTGGTTGCCATGCTCCCCCACTGCCACCCACCAGGTCTCCACCCCACACCCCACAATCTTCTTTGGTCCCAACAACTGGGTCAGGCTCCCACTCCACCGTCACTTCACTTGGATCAAGAATCATCATTTTAAAACACAACCTGATCCTTCTGTGGCTCCCTTGGGACCCAAACAGACCCCACAACCTTGAGGCCCTGGATTCCTGTATCCACCCCACCCCCACCCCCCACTGACCCCAACCCCGCCACCAGCTCTGGCCAAATTCCAGCTCCCTGTGCCCCATGCAGCACCCTCTCCATCCTCTCTGGACCTTTGTGCATGTTGTTCCCTTAGGAGCCCTGCCTGGAACAGCCTGTCTCCTCTCAGGAACCCCCTCTTCCAGGAAGCCTTTCAGGGAAGACAACTGGAGAGGTCTTGCAGACCAGTGTCCCCAGAGCAGAGGAGAACTAGGGGAGAGGGGGAGAGAGTTTGGGGCCCATTACAGCCCAGGCTGGTCACCCTTCCCAAGCCTGTAAGAAAGGAGGTTCCCAATTCTGTCTCTGGGGCAGTGTGGGTACCTTGTGAGTGGGTGGAGGTGAGCCCAGCCCCCCAGCCCTGTCTTTCCTGCCCCTGGCTGAAGGCTGGAGGGTGGGCCTGAGTAGTCCTCTGGCACTTGGAGTCAAGAAGTGCAGGAAGGAAGCCAGGATGGTGGGCTTGGCGTCTGGGTCACAAATAGGTGCTGGAGACAAAATGGGCAGGTGGTGGAGAGATCCTGGGCTGCCAAGCTCCGGACTTCGAGGACAGGTATATGAGGAGGCACCACTGGAGCGTGAAGAGCGCCGACAGGTGTGCAGGCTGCCAAGGGCAGGTGTGTGAAAAGGCGGCTCTGAAGTGGGGGATGTCAGAAACAGGAAGTGGGCCCAGGGCGAGGTGTGAGGGACAAGGTGGGAGGAGGGGAGGGGTCACGAGCCGGTGAGAGGGCCCAGGTGGGGGCGGCCGTTCAGGCAGGCGGGCGAGGAGGCGTGGCCGCCAAGGTAAGTGTGTCAGCAGGAAGGGGTGCACCCATTGCGCGGGACGCGCTGCCCCCTGGCGGAGGCGCGGGGCGGGGCGGCCCCGAGGGCGTTCGGCCCCTCCCGCCCGCTGCGGAGACGGAGACCCGTTCCGCCTCTAGACCTGAGCGCCCAGCCAGCCAAGGCTGCTTCCCTGGGAAGCCGCAGCCCCTTCATGACAACTGGGCCGTAATACGGAGGCGATTCTAATCCTGCCCCTTTAAACTTGAGGTTTAGGGCAATTAGCTAACCTCTTGGTGTCAGTCCCATCTACAATCTGATCCCACAGAATTATCCCTGGGGTTGAACGACTTTCTGTCTGCCACCTGCTCCCACAGGTGAGCCCCAATAACTATTAATTTACTTTTCGTATGATCATCATTCAACCATGACAAACTGAGCCCTGGCTCTGTGCCGGGCTCTGTCCACAGCTAGAGCTTTGGGGTTCCACGAGGAGGATGTGCCCCAGCCCTCAGAGAGATGCCATCTTAATAGCAGGTGCAGGGACCACCAAGAAACGTGTCAGGTTTTGGAAAGTGCTTCGCAGGGAACTGAAGCCAGCTGATGTACAGGCCTCAGCTTCTGCTCCAGATGAAGGAACAGGAACCAGATTTACATGCTCTTGCCTGAAGCAGCTAATAAAAAGCAGAGAGAAATAGAAGTGAAAAGCAGCACCTAAGACAGCAGACATCCCACAAAGGCCAGTGATCCTTGAGAGATAGGAAACAAGTGAGGGGCACCCCACAATTGTCACTGCTTCCTATGTGAAGAGTTTCCAGGGCACAGCGCAGGGAGCGGAAACCCAGGCAATACCTGGAGAGGAAAGAGCTGCACAGAGAGGGAACCCCAGAGAAGTGCAGGGGTCATCCTTGAGGCCTCAGCTGACAGCATAAGAAGAGAAGAAGTCACTGGCCTGGGGAAGGAACCACCCACGAGGATCAGAACCCACACAGGTGGGATGGCGCTGGTGTCCAATAGCCAGAGCTGAGAACCTCATAATTCAGTGGGCATGGGTGGCAATAGGAAGAAGGGTCTTGATCAACCCAAGACTAAATGTAGTTCTGTTCTCCCCAAAAAAGCTTGAAAACAAGACCCTAAAGGGTCACAGTTTCCAAGTAACTTAACTGCATTCCAGGAACAAATGCAAGAATAGTTATAGGAATACAAAATGATCCAGTGTCCAAAAAGGTGGAATATACAGAGTGTGACATCAAACCAAAAATTATTAGACATGAGCAGAAGCAGGAAATTATAACCCATGTTAAGGGGAAAATCAATCAAAACTAACTCAGAAATAATAGAAGATAGAAGTAACGGGTGAGAACATCACACTCAACAGGGACTATCCATACACTCAAGATACAACAAGAAAGCTTGAATATGCTAAGTAGAGACATGGAATTTTTTAAAGCCTCAAATTGATTTCTAGTGATAAAAATTACAATGTCTGAGATAAAGAATACACTGAATGGGAAACTGCAAAAGAAAAAAATTAATGAACCTGAAGTCAGCAATAGAAACTATTCAAATGAAACACAGAGAAAAATGACTGGAAAAAAAATGATCCATGAGTTGTGGGGCAACTCCAAAGGGTGAAATACAAGTAAAATTGGGGTCCCCAGAGGAAAGGAGATAGAGGTGGAAAAGTAAAAATATCATAAGAAAATGGCCAGAATTTTTCCAAATGTAATGAAAAATATAAACCCACAGCTCCCCAAAGCTCAACAAAACAAGTACAAAGAACATGAAGGAAACTACACCAAAGTATGCACAACATTCATGGAGTGCTGACAAATAGTTATAAAGAGATTAGCTTAAAAGCATCCTGAGAAAAAAGACACATTTTGTACACAGGAGCAAAGGAAAGGTGGTTTTGTTTATGTCTTGTTGAATTAAAACAATGCAAACAAGAAAACAGAAAAGCAGTATCTTTAAAGTACTGAGTAAAGAAAACCTATCAACCTGTATTCTTTACCAGCAAAAATGTTGTTTGAAAACAAAGGTGAAATAAGGACTTTTTCATTCATGAGAAGCTGGAAGAATTAACTTCTAGCAGATCTATACAAGAAATGTTAAAAGACATCCTTTGAGCAGAAGGAAGATGGTAGCAGGTGGAAGCCTGAGTCGCATGAAGAAATGAAGTAGAAACTGCATGACTAACTAAAAGAAATTTTTTTCTTATTACTTCAATCCTTTTAAAAGATAAATCAACTGCTTAAAGCAAAAATAACAGTACTGTGGAGCTTATGTCCTATGAAAAAATAAAACATATGATCACAGCACAAGGGGTGGAGAAGTGGAAATATGAGATGATACAATATCACTTGACAGCACACACAGACTGAAAATGTACAGCATAAATATCAAAGCAGTCACTGACCTAGACTGACAAAGAAGAGTGAGTGAGGTAACACAGGAAACAGATGGAATACTTTAAAAAATAATAATAATAATCCAAAAGAAAGCAGAAAAAGAGGGAGAGAACAGATGAGATGAATAAAAGATAAATAGCAAGACGGTAGATTTAAAACCAACCCTATCAATAACTGCACTAAACATAAATGATCTAAACATCCCAGTTAAAAGGCAGAGGTCACCAGAGCAGGCAAAAAAAGCAAGATGCAGCCATATGCTGCCTATAGGGAACGGCTTCAAGCACAGACACAGATTGCTCAAAATGAAATGAGTGGGGAAAGATGTGCCATGCTCACACTGACCAGAAGAAACCTAGAGGGCTGTACTGACATCAAACCAAGGAGATTTCAGATCAAGAGTATTACTGGGGATAGAGAGAGTCAACTCATGACAAACTGGTCATCAGGAAGCATAAGGACATACGACCCTGAATGCACATGCACCTGACATGTAACAAAAGTCCATGAAGCAGACTGATCAGGGAAAATGGGTACATTTACAGAGATTCCAGCACTCTC